TTTTTTTTGTAAAACTAAAGCAGAGATCGATTTAGAATAGAGAGAAAAATTCTGATTATTTACTGACAAAAACAAAAGACATTTAATCGATTTTTTGCTATGCAAATTTTGAAATACAAAAAAAAAGAAACTCTACTTGAGTCTAGGGAAACACTTTAGTAATGTAATCAGGTTGAACTAGTAGCTATAGCTCATAAAGAACATTTGTCAAAGTATATTCTGATTATCATGATTTACGATCAACAAGAAGTTATTGCCGACTTTTCATATCATTTCTGAAAATTATTTAATAGAAATGCTACAGTTTCTCTAAAGGAAAAAACCTGCACTTCTTCAACCATAATATAAATCACTATTAATGAACTCATATATAAACTTCATTATGTATTACTGATTAATATCTTATGAAAAATTTAATTTTAGTATGTATTTAATCAAACAGCTGATTTTGATACAGTTCAACAAATAAAAGAAAAACTTTGTTATGTTGCTCATGATCTTGATGAAGAACGACGATTAGCATTAGATACAACTGTTTTAGTTGAAAGTTATACATTACCTGATGGTCGAACAATAAAATTATCTGGTGAACGATTTGAAGCACCTGAAGTTCTTTTTCGTCCATCATTATTAGGCATGGAAGTAAATGGTGTTGCTGAATTAGTTTTTAAAGTTATTAATAGTGCACCATTAGATGATCGACGTAAACTTTATAAACAAATTGTACTTAGTGGTGGTACAACAATGTATCCAGGTTTTGGTACACGTCTTGAAAGAGAATTAGAAAAATTATATGAAGATCGTATTCTTAAAGGACAAGCAGATAAATCAGCTAAAAATGTTATTTGTATTGAAGCTCCACCACGTCGTAAAAATATGGTCTTTTTAGGTGGTGCTGTTTATGCTAATTTAGTTAAAGATACACCAACTCAATGGATATCAAGACGTGATTATCATGAACATGGTATTGATCGATGTGTACAACGATTAAATCAGATATGTCCACGATAAAACATTGATTTAAACAAACGGATTAGTTCATTTATCCCGTCCGCTTTTCTTTTTCGTTATATCTCTTGCTGAACTCTTTTTTTTTTGCTGCTAGCTCAATTTGTTTTTCTTTTTCCATATTTACTTCATTTATCTTCTTATCGGGTTTATTTTTCTAACACAAAATATTTCCTATGTGTATACTCATGCTTTCTTTCTTTTTTTTTTATCATTATTTAACATAAAATGGATAACTACGCTTGTAGATTTATGATGGTTGATCGTATTTATTGTGCATCAATCGTATTAATTTTATCGAGTATTGCATTTCTTCTTAGTGGAATTTTATTAATTGCTTTCTCGGATTCACTTATTAAGAAAACAGTGAAAAAGGTATGAAGCATTTGTTGTTGTTGTTGTTGTTTTTTTGTTTTCAATTTTGCTTTCTTTTTTTTCCAAAGGAATGTCAATTAAAACAAGGAACAGTTGTTTATAAAATTTGGCATGATTCTCCAGTACCTTTATATATTTCAATTTATGTATTTGATCTTGCTAATGAAATTGAATTTCTTAATGGAGGAAAACCAAATCTTATTCAACGTGGACCATTTGTTTATAAGTAAATTTAATTATAATAATAAATTAATTAGAAGTTGACCAAATGGACTGATTTTTTTTTAATATTGATGACAAAGAGATATTGATAGTGCATATATCCTTAAGGAAAAAATATTGAAAAGAATCGTTTTCATATATCATTATTGACTTCGACATAGAAATACAATCTTTTCAACAATATGATCTTCCCAGTTGATCCATACCTGTTCATAATAACCTTCTGAAGGGCTTCCTCTTTTTGTGAAGTTTTGATCGGGATATTGAATTTTCTTCTGTAGGATCTCAATTTTACAATAAAATCTTACTTTTAAATTTATGGTTTGAAACTTTGTCACAACAAGAATAACTTGTGTATCAAATATTTTGCATGCAGTATCTCCGAAATATCAATTTTTCAAAACCTCGATGTTTTACATAATATTAATCGAGAAGCATCAAGAATTAGAAAAATTGATATCTCGAAGATACTGCATGTAAAAATTTATACACGACTTAGTCTCGTTCAGGGTTTCATCATCTCAGTCAAAAGTGTGAACCCATTGGATGTTATTATGAATAGATGATTCACCATTATTTGACGAAATATGAGCTCTGAAGCTATGAATCAACTCGAAAGAACCTCCATCAAATGTGTTTTGTGAATTTTTCTCCCCGTAGACCGTATATGAATAACATATCGTTATTGTATACATAGAATAAAACAATCTCCGTATAATTAGCAACAGCAACTACATTGTGTTTTACATTTTAATAACGTGGAAGTTGCGCGTAACAGCGTTTGTTTTTCAATAATTTTTTCTTAAGGATATGAATCATGATCAGCTCTTAGTCATCAATAAAAAAATCAGCATGTTTGACAAAACTATGATGGAGATATTTAGTTTTTTATTTCTCTTTGGTTAATTGACTTTTCGATCACATTGTATTTTTTTTTTCTTCAAGAGAACAACGAACAAAAGAAGATATAAGATTTTATCCTAATGGAACAATATCATATCGTGAATCACGTAATTATACATTTGATCGATCAAAATCAATTTCTGATGAAACATTTAGTTTTAATACAATTAATGTTGTTTATATGGTAGATAAAAAAAAATAAAAAGAATATTTAATTTCTTTTTTTTTTGTTATATAGACATTAATCAATTATCTTCATATGGAAAATGTTCCTGATTTATTTCGACAAATTATTGGTGCAATATTATCTTTTGTAGAAAAACCAATTATGCAACGAACAATAAAAGAATATCTTTGGGGTTATCAAGATCCAATATTGAGTATACTTAAAAAACGTTTACCTCAATTAGTAATGGATGATCAAATATCAGCATTTGCTTCTGTGGTAATGATGAATTTTTTATTATATATTCTTCTTATATTTTATAATTTGTAGGTTAATGAAGCACAATATGAAACAGTTCTTATTAATAATGGTGTTGGTTTTGATGAAAATCATAATGAACGTATAAATAATCTTGGTAAAATTGAACGATTTAATTTTTCAACATCATTATCAGTATGGTCAAATCAATATGCAAATATGATCAATGGAACTGATAGTACAATATGGCATCCAGATGCAAGAAAAGATGAAAGAATTTATACATTTATGAATGATATATGTCGATCAGTTTATCTAAAATATAATCAAACACATACAAATTTATTTAATATTAATACTTATCAATATTTATTACCAAATGATGCATTTGCAAATTCAAGTGATAATGAAGGATTTTGTTTAAATTATACAATGGCAAATAAAATACAACAATTAAAATGTTTACCTAGTGGATTATTTTCATTAACTCCATGTATACATTGTAAGTTTATCATATAAGATGGAGATAAAAAGTTTCAAAACGAAGTATTTTTGACTTTCTTTTTTTTTTTTTTTAACAATAACAATTAGAACAAATCTGAGAAAAGATTCAACTAACTAAAACAATTTCCTATCAGACGAACAGTTGTCGGTGAAAGGTCTCTGGAAAATCAAAACCAGTTTTCTAGATTCTATCCAAAAATATTTTGATATCCCAGAGCTCTTTATAACTACAATCATTATCCGGTAGACCTAAAATGTTGTTTTTAATGGAAATTTATATGTATTGTACACTTTGAGACTTTTCATAGAATGAGTGCAGCTTCCTGAAGATAGGTCTTGAAGAGCTCGGAAACATCAAAATGCTTTTTTCTCTATCAGATGAACTTGTTTGTAAAACATTTTCAATAGGAATCACAGAACTGGTTTTGATTTTTCACCGAAACCTGTTAATGAGAATTTGATATTCTGATAGAAAATTGTTTCAGCTACTAAAAATCTTTTCTATGATTTTTTCTAGTTGTTATGGCTAAGGGAAAAATACTTCGTTTCTAAACTTTTTGCTTTCGGCTTTGGATAATGACGAAAAGAGATGATACTTACGTGTATGTTTTGTGCAAGAAAAAGAAAAAGTGCTTTTGTTTCAAACGGGACTTTATCTCTTAGTAAACTGATAACAATAATATTCATATTAAAATGAAGAACTATTACAAAAAAAAAAAAAACTTGATAAATGTATAGATAAGATCATCTTTAATTTTTCGGCTATGTAATAGAAATTAAATGAAATATTGTGAATATTACTTATTTAGTAAATAGTAATTCATTAGCAATACCATTACCAATTATTGCATCAAATCCACATTTCTATGCTGCGGATCAATCAGTTCAAGATGCAGTCGATGGTTTAACACCTGATGAAATGTTACATCGAAGTTTTATGGATATAGAACCAACTACAGGCAGTATGTATTTGAAAATATGAATGATAATAATAATAAAATATATATATTATTTTTTGAAATATTAGTCATTATGAATGGAACACGTCGAATGCAATTTAATGTAAATGTTGTTAATGATTCAAAAATAAAGTATTATTGAAATATTTATTTTAAATTAAAAATTTTAAATATTTATATTTCTAGTGCAATTTCTCATATTCATCCATTGGTTTATCCAATGTTTTGGGTTAATGAAGTAAGTATGAAGAAAAAGATTAATGAAGAGAAACTTCCGCAGATATCTCCTTCATTTGCTAGATGTCCGTCGAATTCAATCGAGTCCGAGTCTAAAAACTTTGAATCCAATGAGCTCTATCCTCTCTACAGTTCTCAGAAGAGATTCGTCGGAGAAATGTGTAGTATGAAGAATTTCATAGCTTGAAGGTGTTGTAAAGTCTACGAATGCTGAAACTTTGCACCAAAAACTATTGTATACGAGACCTTCAATTTGATCCGTCAAGTGTTAATGAATATTTCCTTATAAGGATTAATATGAGAAAAATTGATTTTTACTTATGATTTTAGCATGGTGAAATTGATAAACCTAACGCAGATATATTTCATAAGAAAGTATCTGTACCATTAACTGCACTGATTATTTTGAAATATTTGTTTCTTGCTATTGGTATTCTTCTATTCACAACTGTAATTATTTTACTTGTTTATAGTCGACACAATGTATGTTACTTTTATTTCATTGTTAATAATTTGTTTATTATTATTATTATTATGTTTTTTTCTTCCTTTAAGAAAAATCAAACGAATGCTGTTGTTGTTGTTGTTGTTGAACCGACAACAACTACTGATGAAACAACACCATTACTTGCATGAAAAAAAAACATTATGAACATTATTTTCCGAAAGAATTCTGTATTCCAGCTGTTTTTCACTCAAATATAAATCTTTGTATTTTTCTCTTTTTCTTTTTGCTGCTTTGAATTTTCCTTGTAAATAGATCTTTATGTCGTAAAGTTTAACGTGATTTCTCTTATTTATCTGATTTTTCTTTTTGTAAAATTATTCTTATGAAATAAAAGATTGTCTATAATAAACAAGATAAAATCACTAGTGGAATTTTAGAATCATTGATGATATTTTTTTAACATCTTTTCATTATTTTCATATAGTTCCTTGAATAATTGAAATGAATGAGTTCGCGGCAAATTATATCGATAAGAAAAATAATGTTATCATGATTATGTAAATAAACTTGGATAAAAAAAAACTTGAATATTATATTTATGTAACAGGAATTTTCTTTTTGCAAAAACAAGTGAAAGGTCGAACCTCAAAGCTTTCAATTTTTCAAGCAAATCTTCGCCATTCCTATTAAATTAGTCTTGATCAAACAACATCTGCATATAAAAAATGTTTCATCACGCATCAAATATTCATGATTAATAATAATCTTTAGAAATCATTTTCATTTTTTATCGACGTTTGCTATTGTGATCCTCATATACTCTGTAATCAGCTCGTTGTCTAGGAATAAATATTTAAACATCATGACATAGAAACAAATTCATATTTCTGCTACTTATAATATCATGAGATGTTTAGAATATGATACTGAGTCGGTGCTTTTTATTAATAGATCTTCGACCTGTATAGCACAACACTTCATTAATCTTATTTAGGAACAAATAATACATAATTGAAAGGACGATGGACTTTAGAAGATCTTTCTCCTTTTCATGGTTTTCGAGGAATGGTTCGATGAAAACCTATGAAACTTTCAAGGCAGATAGATCTCGATAAGTAGAGCAACAGTCATCATAGACTCAAAATTCTCATATGCTTTCTTCAGGAAGATATGAAAGTTGCAACGACTAGAAATTTCCCAAAAAATTCAGTAATTTTTTGAGGTTTACACAATTTTTCAGACAATCTTGACGAAATATCTTATGATAATCCAACTTCTAGAGTATGACCCATTCAATCAATCCCACAACCAATTCGACAAGCTTTACTAAAAGTTATTCCTTTTTTTATTTTATTTAAAACACTACAATAAATAAAAGTGATCATAACTTGCTTAAAGCACATTGTATTTGGTTTTGTCGTTGTATATTAATACAAAAAAAAAGAGCACATATATATATATAATACAAAATAAATTCTGTTCACAAAACAAACTCTTCAATTTCTTCGACAACTGTCCTATTAGGTATTGATTTTGTTGTATTTGTTACTACTTTTGGTCTTTGTAATTTATCATTTTGTAATAAATTTGGTTTTATTGCTTTTGAAATATTAGTTGCAGGTGTTGATTGACCAAATGATAAATCTAATGAGTCAGATCTATCAGGGTGTGGGTGGGTGTGGGGGTGGGTGTGGGTGTAAATCAGTTGTATAACAGACTAACTTGTATATCTAAAATACAAATCAATCTGCTGATCTCAATTTTTGCTTTTCAGCAATCGATATTTGTGTCGAAATAATTTTAAGTAGAATAGATAATGTGCTTCTAATTAAGAATGAATGCAGAATGTTGCTTCGCCGACGCGTTTCGTGTATTTTATTTAAAAATAAGAAACACTCTTCAGGGCTCTGCATATAAGCACACAAAAATAACAAGAAATAACTACAAAAAGAAAAGTAAAAATAAACAGAAAAAAGATAGTAAACAAAAATAAACAGAGAAAGTAGCTAGATTAATAATATGAAAAAACAAACAAACAAAAGTAGGGGGCAATATTTAGCATTTCCAAAAAGTTTTTATAGCATGATAAATGTCAGTACCAATTTAATTAAGAATAACAACTCCACATCGGTGCAACTTGAATAATAATAACTTCGCATCCGTGCAACTTGATTAAAGATATAAATAATAATAACTTCGCACCCGTGCAATTTGATTAAGAATATAAATAATAACTTGACATTTATGCAACTTGATTAAGAATATAAATAATAACTTCGCATCCGTGCGTTTAGAATAAATAAGTTATAATGAAAAAATCAATATCGACGAGTATGAACCAACCGTCTTTGTAGATTATCAACATTACGTGTACCAAGAACTGGAGTAATCTCATTGATAGGAGATTCACCAAAGTATTTGTTCCACAAAGCATGGAATTTCTTAGGAAATGCTTTCATACTTGTGCAATACGTAAAATGAATAAACATTGTACGAGTATGATCAACTGGTGTCTTGTCAGAATATGGAGTATTAATAACTTTTTCACGTAATGCATTATAATTAGTTCTTGTTAATGGCTCATTTATTTGAAACTTCAAAAAAACTTTTTCAAATTGTTGATCGATGAATTTTCCTGGATATTTATTTAATAATAAAGTTATTCTTAATGTGTTTTTTTCTTTTACATAAGCATCAAATGTAGAACAATATCTAATTGCTCGAAGTAACATTGCGAATGCTATATTCTTCTTCATATGCATTGGATGAACACTATTAAATGGTAAATAATATGGTTCATAGGATGGCTTGTAATAAACTGTAGTAAATAGTTGGCCATCTCTATTTTCTATATGTACATCTAAAAAATCAGCATATGAGTTAATATTAGCTGATAATTTAATATTTTTATCAAATTTATTCCATCGATCGATCTGTTTCATGAAATGACGTACAGGCCAATTAATAATAATAAATAAGTCATCAATATAACGTAAATAAAGACCACCACTATTGCTGATTTGACGAACGATATCACGTTCATAGAAAAACATATAGCAATTAGCAATGGTTAATGTAAGTGGAGAACCCATTGCTCCACCTCTTATTTGATGATAATATTGGCCATTATATTTAAAGTAATTGTTTTGCATAACAAATCTAGCTAAACGTATAATAGCTTCGACTTTTAATTCTTTAATTTGTTTTATATGGAGAAAGTCGAGCATCTTTTTTAACGTCAGTACTCCTTCAACTTGTGGACTCATTGTATACAGGTCAGCAACATCCACTGTACATAATATAGTTTCTTTTTTCATATTAACTTGTGACCATTGTTGTAGTTTTTTGACTAATTCAAAGCCAGACATAACTGTTGTGTTAGAGGCCATTTTGTCAAATAATGGTCGCAATAAGTCATCAAGAAACTTAGAAATCTTTATTGTTGGATGTTTTAGACCTGAAATAATTGGCCGAAGAGGAGTTCCTGGTTTATGAGCCTTTGGTAAGTAATATAGATGAGCTAATTCAACTTCATCTACTTTAACACATAATTGCTCATATTGTTTTTGTGTAATCCATTTAGCTAGACGTAAATTTAATAAATATAGATTAGTACGTTGAAGTAAATTGGGTAGTGGATCTTCAGTACCAAGACATGTATAAGCATTGGTTTTATTCATATATTCTTCAGATCCTTTTTCATAATTTTGTAATTTACCCAAATGAAATACTTTTGATTTATCAGTTTTTCTTAATATTGTATTTGTTAATCGAAATTTATATTTTAATCTTTTAATTAATCGATGATAATTTTTCTTCTTTTTAACCATTCGAGTATTCGTTTGAGATTGACTTGAAATAATAAGGTCATTTGGAATAGTAATAGAAGTGTTTTGACTTGTTATTTGATTAATTTGACGACAATTTGTAGTAATAGAAGCTGGACTATTGTGAAGATTCTGAAGAAGAGTATCTAATTCGGTAATAAATTGTTGAACTGGACGACCGGGGCTAACTTTTTTCTCATGAAAACGAGTTTCAATTTTTCTACGAAGTGTAGCCAACTCAGTTATACGTCGTCGTGCAGCCGTTTTTGGATCATTGAAAATAAATCGAGGGCCTAAATTCAACAATTGATATTCTTCTTCAGTTAATTTCATTTGTGGTACTTCATTAATTATATTTGGACCGATAATAAATGGGTCGGGACGATATCTACTGGTTGTATTTGCTGTTGCAGATTGTCCGTTTCGCCCTCGACTTCCTGTGCCTCTAAAAAATAACAGGATTGTTCGGCTTCTAAATTTAATCGTTTAACACGTAATTGATGATAATGTTCAAAGGCAGCATAACTTTTATCTTCTTTATTATCATCTTGAGTTAGCTGCTGTGCATCATTTAAATCGACATTATCATCATTTGGAGTAATTGAAAGAGTATCAGGTCGATTTTCTTCAATAATTGTCTCGATCTCATTTTTAATCATATCAAATTCAGTAGAAGCTACTCTAGAATATAATTCCATACTTCTTCTATAAAATTCATTTTTTATCTGATGCATATCATTATATATAGTTTGTATATCATTTTGTTTTAATATTGATTCATCAATTTTAAAAGATAAATCATTTTTTGTAATAAATTTTGGAAGTAAATTAGATTGAAGACGTTTTTGTGCCATATGATAGTTTTTATTTTTAATAGACCATATCTTCATTTTAGGTTTTAAAACTAAATGGATAATTTTATGTGGTGCAGTAGAGATTTTTTCAAATTCTTCTAATGCTTTATATTCTTCCATTTGTGCTTTAGCTAATAAGATACGTCTATCACACATTGTTTTCACATGATTTGTATAATCTACAATGTAATTTGATATAAACTTTTCGAATTGATTAATATTATAAGAAATATGTGGAGCATCAGTAGATGTTGATGTAGTAGTATTAGAATCTGTAGTTGTTTGAACATTTTTTACGTATTTTTTACGTGATGTTATTCGTGCCCAATAATCACCAAGTTCTATTTGTAAACCAGAAATTGTTGTACGTGTTTGACGAATTGTTGATGATAATTGATCAGTTTTCTTATTAATAAAACGTCTATTTACATTATCATCACGTTTCTTTGTACGTTGAACAACTTCTTTGGCCCAATATTTATAATCTTCACCTAATTTTAAATAATTTTGCCATACTTGTAATTCATATTCTGCTCTAATCTGTTCATCATAAACAGGAGCTGAATTAATAAGAAAATTTTTCATACCATCACAAGTTCTATTATCTTGCAATAAATCAGTAAATTCTTTAAATTCTTTAAATTCTTTGGGGTCTTTGGGTGGATTTTTATTTTTAAAATAATTCAAAATACAATTAAGATTAAGATAAGAACGAATTTTTGTTTTATTTTTCTTATTTTTCTTATTTGTTTTATTAATTTGATTATCATAATTAATATTTTCTTCTTCATTATCAATAAATTGTTGTTGTTCTTCGGCAAGTACAGCAAATCGATTATTATTATTATTATTATTATTATTAATTCTGTTATGACGATTTTGCTGTTGTTGTCGGCGACGTTCTCGACGTCTATAAGATGATGTAGTTCTTATTTGTTGATATTGTTGACCTTGTGGCTGAATTTGATCATTTTGATTATCTTGTTGTACCACGAAAGGTTGTGTAGTATTATTATTATTAATAAATTGTGGTCGTTGTGGTAATGCATTAACAGGAATATTATTCGTAGTATGTGTTGAAATATTTTGTCCATTTTGACATTGTTGTGGCAAGAAATCACCTACTGTTAATGGACGTGGTTGACGATATTGTCTTTGATAATTATTACGAAAATTACCACGATAATTACCTCGACGATTATTATGATATTGTTGTTGTGGCCGCTGTGATCGATAATTTCTATTGTAATAAGTTCTTCGATAAAAACGGTGACCAGAATTGTAATATGGAGGACGGGAACGTGAACGAGAACGATAATTACCATTACGATTTCGACTATTAAAACGATTTGAATAATTCGATCGATTACTTTGATAATTCGAACGTACATTGTTCCTATAATTTCCATAATTACCAAATTGATTGCCACCATAATTACCAGATTGATTACCACGATAATTACTAGATTGATTACCACCATAATTACCAGATTGATTGCCACCATAATTACCAGATTGATTATTGGCCCCATATGTACCAGATTGATTATTGGCCCCCAAATAATTACTAGATTGATTGCCCCCCAAATAATTACTAGATTGATTGCCCCCCAAAACACCACGACCACATGCATGACATTGATGAAATTCTTGTTGTTGTTGTTGTGGTTGTGGTGTTGGATTATTTGGATTATTAAGAGTTATTGACGACATATGAATCGTTAAAATAAATTGAGATATAAACGGATCAAATTAGAATAATAATATAATTCGAAGAATAATTTGATGCCTGATATAATAATAATTAGCGTAAATCAGTTGTATAACAGACTAACTTGTATATCTAAAATACAAATCAATCTGCTGATCTCAATTTTTGCTTTTCAGCAATCGATATTTGTGTCGAAATAATTTTAAGTAGAATAGATAATGTGCTTCTAATTAAGAATGAATGCAGAATGTTGCTTCGCCGACGCGTTTCGTACCTTTTAAAAGGTAGTACTCTTCAGGGCTAGATATGTAAATCTAGAATAGAAATGAAATGCAGATAATATTGTAAATATAGTTGAAAAGAAATATCCGTATAGAAAAAGAGAGAACATAATGAATATGATTTGAATATGAGAAAGTGAAAAAGAAACTCGCAATGTTCATTAGTTCATATATTGAAGCATATTGAAGTACTTTCAATTAACCTAGAAAATTGAAAGTAGAAATGTTCAGTAATATAAAGGTCTGATAAAAATGAATCTTTACTTGATTATCTCGATATTGTTGTTCAATATATGATTGTAATTGTTCTTCATTCCAATTATTTTTTACAACCAGAGCCAGCTTTTTTATACCAAAACATTCATTAACAATGCATTCAACGAGATAAGATCGGCATTCGTCTTTATTTATTTTAGCATAAGGTTCGGCAAAGTAAGATTGATTTAACTCTTCAGAACACACATGGATAGACGAATCAAGTCCCATTGCCCATGGCGTAGATAAATGAGACATACACTGACCAAAAACACAATAGCAAGCTAATGAAATAGACGAATTATCAGGAATAGTCCTAAGATTTTCGTATCGTTGACATGCATATGAACAAGTTGAATCACATCTATGTTGTGTTGGCATTATAGGTTTTGTTTTATATGGTGATACTCGATTATACCAGAGTTCACACTCTCTCTGAAGCTGATGCTCATCAGATGTACGTAGATGAAATGGTGATAATAAAATAGAATCTGACAAACTTCTATAGAGAAAACGTGTTGTTGTCCAGGTTGTAATACACTGTTAGATAGAAAATAAGCTATGGAGAAAGAACAAGGATATTCAAGGAATGCCTATATGAATTCTGAAAGGAATTTTTAAATGCGCGAAAATACCGTTTTCAAGAGGAAAGAAATAAGAAATTCGATTTTCTAATTTAAAAATCGAAAGTGAATTCATATAGGCATTCCTAGAATTTCGGATTCTATTTAGCAATTGGAGTATTTTTTAAAAATTGGAAAATCGAATTATATCTTGATATCATCATGTAGTATCAAAATATATCCAATATAATAAATACTTAAATAGTTTAATTTTAATTTAATAAATTCAAACATTAATTGACATAAATGCATCAAAATAAATAAATAATTTTATTTAAATTCAGATAATATCATTAACATTTAATCCATATAAATGCATCAGATAGCATAAACAAATAATTTAATTTGATTTAAATAATATCATTAGCATTTAATTCATATAAATACATGAGATAACATAAATAATTTAATTTAAATCTAAATAATATCATTGGTATTTAATTCATATAAATGCATCAGATAACATAAACAAATAATTTAATTTAAGTTAAATAATTCATTGATATTTAATTCATATATGCACCAAATAAAAAATTTTATTTAAATTCAAATAATATCATTAACATTTAATCCATATAAATGCACCAATTAGATAATTTTATTTAAATAACTCATGATCATTTAGTCCATATAAATGCATTATATAACATAAACAAATAATTTTATTTAAATTCAAATAATATTATGAACATTAAATTCATATAAATACGCCAAATAACAAATAATTTTAATTGAAATTTAAATAATATTATATATATTTAATTCATATAAATGTTTCGAATAACATGAATAATCATTTTAGATTGAAGTTCAAATAATATCATACACACTTAATTTGCATAAATGTATTAAATAACATAAATAAATAATTTAAATAATATTATATATATTTAATTCATATAAATGCATTAAATAGCATAAATAAATAATTGCAATTGAGATTGAAATAATATAATAAACATTCAATTCATATAAATGCATCGAATAACATAAATAATCCAATTTAAATTTAAATTCAAATAATATCATACAATTTAATTCACACAACTGCATTAAATAACATAAATAGATGATTGAAATTGAAATTATATAATAAACATTTAATTCATATAAATGCACCAAAATAACATAAATAAATAATTTCAATTTCAATTTCAATAATTTTATAGACATGTAATTCATAAAAATGTACCGAATAACAAATAATTAATCATAATTTAAATACATACCAAATGGACTGACACACAGAGTGAGTGTGAAAATATAAGTTATCAACTGACTAGTCAGTTGCGGTTGAATATAATGAATGAAAAATATGCGCGGTCGGCTTATATACATGACTGAACAATGACTCGATAGCGATCATTGTTCGAATGATTTTTTCTGAATCGGAATTGATTTTAGAGTTTTATTAAAATCAATGTTGTTTTTTTCACTCTGTGAAAAATGATTTTTTTCGAAAATCAAATTGAATCTTTATAAGTTGGAAAATCAAGCGTTTTCGAGATACTGGAAATTCGTAGAATGAATCATAAGACTTTAAAAATACTTCAAGTTATTTAAGATCGATTTTCCAAAAAGTAGAATTTAAAAAAAATTTACAGTGTAGCTTTTGTATAAAAGAAGATTGAATCAAATAAATCTCTGATTTGACAATATGATTTTGTAGCATAGTACGGTAAATGAAACATTTCGAATATAAGAATATTTAATTTATCGTGCTGTTCAAACATAACTACAACTATAGCATACTGCTTCTTTAGAATTGTATCATCTTGGGTAAACAATGTTAATTCTTGTGTTTGTTTAATTTCTTCATTTAATTGTGATAGAAGTTTAAATGAAGTCTTTCGATTAATAAAAAAAATTTCATATGGTTGATTTGCTTTAAACATTGGTAATAACTTGATACTTATATTAATTTTTTCTTCAACATTTACGTCTTGACGATTATTTTGTTCTTGTACCAAACAAATATCTTTTTGACTGTTATTATCAATAATTTCCATGTGTTCCTAAAATAAAACTGTCAAACTCATAAAAATAATAAATAAATGAATTACTTCGTTATTCATCATTTGTTCTTCGCTGTCATTAACATTTACATACAATGATGTTATATTTCGTGTGTATACGTATGATAATAGCCGAATAATGACACTTCTTAACAAGATGAAAAGACGAACGAATAGGTAACGGACCATTATTTGAATGAATCGATTCAAAGTATTTAGTGTAAATCAATTGTATAACCGACCAACTTGTATATCTAAAACATGAATAAATTTGCTGATCTCAACTTTTATTTTTCAGCAATCGATTGTTTTGTGTAAAACAACTTTATTCAATAAAAAAATGTTTACAAAATAGTAGACAAGTTTTACAATTATAGCACACTACACATCAACAAAATAGACATTATATAAACAAAACCAAAATAAAAAACAAAAACGAACGAATACACAAACAATAAACTTAAGCTATAACTTAACTATTTTCTTTCTTTTTTTTTTACAGTTTCAAAAACCCTTGCTCACTGAAAGAAATTACCGAATACTTTCTAATAAATCCTTGATCCTGCTCTATCTGGTGGGATAGCCACAAACAGATAGCCACAGTGACCTTACGCACACATCTATCTTATTCTATAAACAAAAACAAAAAAATAATCGACGTCGATAATGCCATATTGATTTGATGAAATTTTAAAACTCAAAAAGGTAGAAAAAAAGGGACACAAGAGAAAAATCGCATGGCGTGGAGATGATTTTTATCATCTCAATGGCTGGAAGGGATATGCTACCAGTGGGCCACACCTTCCACATAGCACATTGATACAAATATCCACGCCAGCGATTATAAAGAATTAAAGAATGTTATTATAGGAGTCTAAGACCATTCTATTCTCAAAATTATTTTTATAATTTAATTTAATTTTATATCAGACATCCCACAAAAACAGATGAAAGAATATTTTTAAATTCGAAGGAAAAAAGTCTGAAAAAAAAATCTTAACTAAACCTTTAACATACCTGTCGTTCAGAATAAGTTCTTTGTCGATGTTGTATAAAATGAAGAAATGATTTGATATCAGTTTAGGAGACGTATTTATATACCTACTGTACGACAGACCAGCTATGAGAAATAAGCGACGACAGACCAGCTATGATAAATAAGCAACGACAGACCAGCTATGGAAAACAAGCAACGACAGACCAGCTATGATAAATAAGCAACAACAGACCAGCTATGAGAAATAAGCAACGACAGACCAGCTATGAAAAACAAGCTACGACAGACCAGCTATGATAAATAAGCAACGACAGACCAGCTATGAGAAACAAGCAACGACAGACCAGCTATGAGAAATAAGCAACGACAGACCAGCTATGAGAAACAAGCAACGACAGACCAGCTATGAGAAACAAGCAAGGACAGACCAGCTATGAGAAACAAGCAACGACAGACCAGCTATGAGAAACAAGCCACGACAGACCAGCTATGATAAATAAGCAACGACAGACCAGCTATGAGAAACAAGCAACGACAGACCAGCTATGAGAAATAAGCTACGACAGACCAGCTATGATAGACCAGTCGCAGTAGAGGAGATACAATAGATCATCTTTCATTTCGGAGAAAGAGATGTTGAGGCATGACATACTTCTATTGATAGTTCCGTGAAATAAGAATGGCATTTTATTAGTTAATATAAATATTATGACTAATTGCGTAAGTAAGAGAAGTAATGCGTTTTTTAGTTTATGATACATTCTGTTAATTAAAACTGGGTTTCTTTTATAAATCAACATCCTATTATCATTTTAGATTCGATTTTAATTATTTACTGTTATCAACATACATTCGATATAGACATATTTAGTAGGTAGGAATAAATATTTTACTAATTTATGTAAATATTTTCATATCTTTTTCTTATAGTCTTTTACTGATCGCATTTATTATTATAACTGTTACTTACATGTTCTTTATATATATCTACTGGTCAGAAACAAGGGAAGGTTTGAAATATTCTTTAAATATTTTTATTGCTGTTTTCTTTCCTGTTATAGATTTTCATCTAAGTTAGTTAAATCAAGATTCTATCGGCATTATTTACATGTTATCATTGCAAGTACCGTTTTAGTTACATCTCAGCGTTTTCATTCTCGAGTAGAAGTGAAAGATAGTCGAGATCCCCTTTATTGATTCCATACAACTAGATATTTCTTCATCGATGTTGATTGGATCAATAATTGTATATTTTTTTGGGTATAAAATCTTTAATTCTTTGTAATCACTGTCATCGCGCAAGCGATGTGCTATGCGGAAGTTGTGGCCCAGTGGTAGCAGATCTCTTCCGGCCATAGAGTGAGACACACACCCAAAACAGAATTGTGTGTTTTGTCTCTATGTCAGTGATTACTTCTCTTCTTGTCCGGTTTTTCTCTATGGGGTTGAGTCTCTTGTATCTAATTCGTTTGTCAAATAAACAAGGAGGCACGATATATAATCGCTGATAACATCCTCATAGATGATGAGAATTGTGTATATCGTCTATGTAGTAGTTCGTTGTGGTTATCTTTTTAAATAGAAAAGAATCGGACCTCAGTCGATGGATATACAAGCTTTCTTTATACAGTGCGCGACAAAAGTTATGCTCCTATTCAAATGAGTATTTTTTCTTTGATTTCAATACAAGATATTGGAATATAATATATATATATATATATAAGAGAGAACTTCTAAACATTTACTAGGCACATAATATCCTTTGAATTATTTGCTTCTTTCTTGAGTAAAGTAGAAATGTGTGAAATGTATCCTTGGATGACTTTTTGTGAAATGTGAAGACATGCTTGATCGATCATCGCTTCCAACTTAGCTTGCGTTTGTGGTTATGTCATTCTAACCATTTCCTTGAGTGAGTGTCAAACATATTCAATTGTATTGAGTTCAGGCGAGTGAGGCGACCAATCTAATAATTGAACTCCATGAACTTCAAATTACTGACAAACTGGTTTTGACCAATGTGACTTTAATTAATCTTGAACTACAGCATAACAACAGCATTTGTGTATATATGGACCAAGGCAAGACTCTAATAGTTGCTGATTTATGGTTTGATTCATGTAATCATCATACCTTGCGAACGTTTTTCCATTCCACTAGATGGGATCGCATAAGTTGACGTAGACACGAAGACAAGAAATTTCATGAATCGGCATTGGTTCACTACACTTTATTCAATCGATTGCACCTGAGTTACGTAATTGTACTTGTGTTTCGTCAATAAAAATCCATTTTTTGATATTGCTATTCTGTTGTTCTGCCGTAAATAAATATCGTTTTTCGAGTTGAGCTTATGTTGATTTAACTTTGATATGTTGTTCTCTTGGACAAAATCCAAGAGCTCGATGATATCATTGTAATGTGCATTCATTCACTCGTATACCAAACGCGTTAAAGACATGATTAGAAAATTCATTAGCCGTTACAGTTGAATGTTTTGCGATGTACTTATCTAATAACTTTCTGTTGACCATCAGTAACGGTAGTTGGTCGACCTAGTCTTTCTTGATCGGTTAACAATCCTGTTTTGATGGAAGCGAGCAAGAACACAACTAACTGTTCGGTGATCGCAACTAACTACACACGGCGTTTGACTTTTGTGCTTCTTTAACGATAAATAAACATTCTTCTTGTGTTACATGTCGCATTATTGTCTGTTGTAGTATTTTAGAAATCTAAAACAAAAGAGAAAAAAAAAACATGCGAAATAGAAAGGCTGAATATGAATATCGGATCGTCTAAGAGTAGTGTATATAATAATAATAAAATGATTTGCAATGCCTTTCATAAAGATAAAATAAACGATTGGATCCGCGGGTCAAACTTTTGTCGCGCATTGATATATCGAATAGACTTAAGATATAATTACTATTCAATTTATCCTGCATTCACAATTGACTACTTAATTTTCAATGTACTATATGTATTGGATCTAATTTAAATGTGAATTCATTCATTAATCGTTTTACGAAAGACATAAGAATCAATATTGTCTGTTTTCGATATCCTCAAAAAATTCTACAAATTGGCTGTCGCATTTCTACTGAAGAGAACGTATGACCAATAAACTTTCAGAGTTTTAAGTCAATTCGCATTTAATTTAAAATGAAGGCGTATATAGACGTACATAATTTGAATTTTACTCTAAATTAGTTGCATATATGGAGCCAGTATGTTAGAATAGAATAAAATCTGTTAAATATGAGATTTCCGATAGCTTCATAAATTCTTTAACTCAAATGATCATCAATGAGTAATATTTTATTGGGATCACTTTGTATAATTAATTTCGAATGTTTCATGAGAAAATCAATGGCAATATTCTAATGGTTTCTTAGTCTAAAAAATTCTCTTGACTGATGGATTTCCATTGAAACAAAAAAGTTGTTAATTTCATGGAGATTATATTATAATTTAAAGTGTTTTCATATTTTGTTTCATGCCATAGACAAAATTATTCTCTTAACTTTTTTTTATTTTTTAATCGCCTTATATTATCATCTATCATTTTCTTAATTTATAATTCAGATTTACTATTTATCATCTACTTATCATAATTAAATCACTATGTCATCATTATCATCACCATCTTCTATTCAACTATCCGAATTACCTAAGATTACTCGTATCACAAAACCACCATTAACAGCTGAAGAAGAAAAATTAGCAAAATCAACTAAACAGTCGTTTTCATCTTCACCTCTATCACAACAAGACTATTTACAAATTTTTAAAAATTTAACTGTATTATTTATTGGCGATAATTTTATACGGACCTTATTTCGTGGTTTCTGTAAATCCTTAAAATATGGTCGATTGTTAGAACATTCAGAGGTTAAACATCAAAACGGCAAGTACAAGCCAATCGAAGGTAAGTGAAATATTGTAGTCTAAGATAAAATCAGTTGTATGGTCATATGCCAAATGAATGTATTGCATTCGAGATGAGTTAGTGTATATGTGCTATTGATCAATTCGCCTATGTACTTCTAATATGCTACTAAGTATCATTGAATTCATTTGATGCTATTTAACTAATACATTGTTGTGTGTTTATTGTTCCGAAACTTTATCTCAATCATATTGTTATATGAGGACCTATTGAGAGATTGTTAAATGGTTAAGAATGTACATTGTCTTCGAGCGATTCAATTCAGTAGATATCATCTCAGTATCGACTACATTTTAAGAGTCGATTATATCGAGTTTTTAAAAGACGTATTTCCAATGGTGTGCGTCAGTATTTTTGATCTGAGTGGGGAAAAGAGAACTGAGCCCCTCCTTAGCTCCTTTGGTATCACTGTAAGTATTTCAATTTCAATGAAACGAAAATTATAATAAATGTTGAGCTATTGAAAATAGAAAACAATTTATATAGTGAATTTCGGATGTAAATTATGCTCATATAATATTGCCTCATATGTCACATATACAAGGATGTATCATAGAACAATTGAAAGGAATGTTTTGTAATCATTGGCTCTAGTCATATCGGAATGTATCGTATATTTTTCTATTCGATATTGTACTTTGCTGTGCTGGGTGGTGTATTTTGCTAAATTGGATGTCGCACTTTATTGTGTTGAATGTTATGCTTTGTTGTGTCCTATGTTTCATATTTTGTCATATGTATATGATGTTGAAAGTGAAAATAATGATTGTCAAATTGTCTCTCTTTATGATTTAGGTGAAGAAATTTTACTATCAGAAGGCAAACTCTATACAAATGAATATCGTGACATTCATAAATTTTATTTAAGTAATACTTCAACTACATTAATATATGTATATCTACCTACAATACTAAATGATAATTTTATTCATGAATTAAAATTCATAAAAGATCATATTTCATCATTATCAATTGATATAATAATTTTCCGTTCATATAATTCCGACATCAATGAGTATGTCTAAGCATAATTCCCATAATTCTGATATACTTTCTGTTTTTTTTTTTGAATTCAGACAAAAATTATCTCAATCAACATTATCATTTAATGAGTATTTCAATAACTATTGTTTCAAATTAACATATTTCATAAATTACTTGAATCGTTTTTTGCGAAACATCAATTCAAAAGGCTGTAATATGTACTGGATGTCACCATTGCCTCATTATCAACACTTTTCAGTTGAAAAACAAAATGAATTTCAATCTATAATTCAAAGAACAGACTACATCATTGAAAATGATGATTTTGTTAAATTTGATCTCTTTGATATGTGGACACGTCGCAAGGATTTGTTGATACCATCTACTCCTTATTTTTCTTTGCACGGTAAGAAGAATAAATTTGAATATAAAAGCCTTTTGATTCATTTGCTTCTTTTCTTATTTGATATGAAAGGCGTGCGTGAAATTATGGATTCGTTGTCACGTATTATAGGGCAAAAATATAATCGAACATTTACACCATCTATTACCATGCCTTCATTACCAACAGCAAATGAAAATAAAAATTCTTCTTTTTCTTCTTCTTCTTCTAATCTACAATGGCCTAAAGCTCCTTCATATTCTTCATCATCAAATCGTTATCATCCATATCAACATTAACATTGACATTTGATTATTCTCCATTTGTATATTTTCCATTTGAAATATTTTCATTTCATATTTCATTTACATTTTTGTTTCATTTTTTTGTTCGATTTGCTCATTTATCACACATTTTGAATACTTTCAGATATTTTCTTTCTATCAGCTCAGTCTACAATAATCAACAACATCTTGTCATTAATATAGTAAGTATCAACAATAACCAATTTTAATATTTAAAGATTGTATCTATCTCTAGAGTCAGAATGTATTCATTAAATAATATTAAGCGGCATTGATGATCATTTGGAATATGTTTAAAGGTTTTTGTCATTGGGTACACTTAGAACAATATAAGTGAGATAAAGTTATACTGAAGATCTGTAGAATAGTAGAAGAATCAAGATGATTTACGATAGTACTGTAATATTAAGATAAAATTTTTAACTTAGAGAAAGTCTAATAATTGACAAGTGTATTAGATAATACTAATGGACAGATGTGATAGACAATATATTACACTATATTTTTATCCTTGCTAAAGAGTGATCATTGGACATGTTTAGAATTATAACTACATGATAAGTAGAAACTATTTTCAATTTTGAAACTTTTCCTATGAGATGGTATGATTATATTTATGAAAGTGTAGTTTCAAGTACCAAATGACATTTTTCGACTATTGTATAGATAATCTGCAATGGTTGTGCTACAGAACAAGTGATTAAATCAATAGAACTTGATTAGCCGATTTCAATAGACCTTATTATTGAAATAAGTTTTGTGAAAATCAAAAAATATACTGCTAATTTTTTTTTTGGAATTTAGAGAATAATTCAAATATGAACAATCATAATTGGTTCCGACTTTGTTAATCCCGAATAATTCTTAACATAGTTGAATTTTATGGTAAAGTGAAAATCTATCTAGTCATTAACCCTTTCTGGTCCATTATACTAAATATAGTACGGTTTTTTTGTTGTTTTTCAGTAGTCTTAATTTCTGAATATCTTAGGGGCACCAAAAAGATATCGAGGTGCGGTTTTTTATGACGTAGAGGAGACTTCAGTGTAAACATCTATGTAAGAATTATAAACCTAACGAGGTCACTTAAGTAGTAAGCCTGATGATGTCTGGCACACTACCTTGATTCTAACAAGAACAAGGACGTTAGATATCTACCAACACTGAAACTTTTGAGTTTTGAGGATTTGGATTTTCGATGATCTGACGTTTTTGGTCGCGTTTTGGAGAGCGACCTGACTTATCAAACACAGAGCCTGACTCAAAGTCTGAAACTATCCAAAACCCAAATCTAAAAAGTTTTGATGTTGCTATATGTCTAGAAGAGGTTTTGTGACAGATCTCAATCAAATTTTGATCTACGTCTGCACTCCATATAGGAATGAACAAAATACTTCTTCGCCATTTCCGTAGGGAAGTACGTGAACGAATCGAAAATTACTGTAAAGGTTTTTAAAAATTTTTGATGAAAATATTGACAACACGCACTGCCTATATTATATATAAGGTCTCCAAGAAGTTTCACCCATTGGCGGAGCAATGGGCCTAAAAGGGTTAAAGTATTTTATTGGAGATACCATTTCTGAGTTATTCGACTCGCAATCGTTCGCCTTGTATTTTAAAATAAATGGTTGTGTGAATTGTTGAAAAATAAATAGTTAACTTGTTTGTTTTATTTGAAATTGATTTTTTTTAAGAAGATATCGTCGTCGATCTTTCTACTGGATCTGATACAACACTTATAACTGCAGAATAAGAATTGCAGGAAAAAAAACAATATTTGATTGGAGTAATGTTAATAAACAAATATTTGACCCTAAAACAGTCATTTTGAATATTATAAAACGATGTCTTTATTCGGATGTTACCCTTTATTAATTGAAAAAAAACCTAATGTGAAATTTTTTTGTTTTTCTTTTCTTTTGATTTAGTGGAAGATCGAAAATAATCTGGACTTTCCGGATTTGCTCGAACAATTTACAATCTCATTGACAGAATACAAAAAAAAAGATAGATCCATCTTCAAATAAAAAAAAAAAAATTGGTTGGTTAAAATGTCATCGATAAAAGTAAGTCATTCCTATCATTTTATTTCAATGTATAGCTTATTTCATTTAATCATTGTCACTTATAATAGCTATCCAAATTATTTTTACTTTTTTTTTTCTTTGATGATAAAAACCGACTTAGATTCATATAAGAGATTTGTTATATTGAATATGGTTAAATTGTTTCAAACTTAGAAAAAAAGGTGAACATTGGTGATATCATGTGAGATTGACAGTAAGGAAAAATAATATATTAAATTTTTCAATTAAACTATTCATTTTGCTCATTTAGTTACGTGCACACGGAAGAAAGATCAGTTCTCTTACTTCGTCAACAGCAGAAGAAATAGATAGAAGCATTGTTAAACGACTTTGTCAATATATGGATACTTCATCAAGCAAGGATGATGATGTTTAATATTGATCGAAGATTCTATTGTCCTCATGTATTTTTCAATCGATTCTATAAACATTTTTTTTTTCTTTTTTGTTCATACTGTGTAGATATTCGTGTCTGAGTTTAAACAAAAAAAAAACATTGTTAATAAGATATCTGTGAAATATATTCATTCGATTTTCTTTATTATCAAGCCTTTGGAAAAGAAGAAACAGAAAATACGGTGTTGGTATGGGTGTGAGTGTGCGTAAATCGATGAGACATAGATCGATTTAGATTTTTTAGAATAGAAATCAATCTGCTAGCCTGAACTTTTCCTTCTCAACAACTGATCTTTTCTCGAAATTAATTGGAAATAGTATTTGCTTGTAGGTAAAAATAAATACAGAATTTACCTTCACCGACACGTTTCCTGTCATTTATTTGAATATACAAACACTCATCAGGGCTCTGCATATAAATAGAGAAAAAAAAAAAAGAAGTAAAGACTAATGAAGTGTAAGTAAATAAAGAATAAACGCTAGGTTAATATATAGAGAAGAGTAAAAGAAAGGAAAGAACAGAGACAGAGTCTGTTTATGATAAATCAGAGTCGGTTGTGTGATGCAGTCAGTATTGCAAATATAATATAACAATAACAATTGGCTAACATTGAATGGTTGTTATAAAATCTTTCAGAAGTTTTGAATAAGCCAATTCTAGTAATATACATAAAGCCAGAATGCACCAATCAATGTTCTATTATTTGCTTTATGAAGAAATGAATTACTTTAATTTAAATAAGAAACAACTGATGTGGAATGGATGTCATTGAAAATCTTTAGCTAGTAGTGAAATTTAATATATATGTTTATAATATTGTGTAAATCTTAGACAATTATATAAAAGGTAATTTTTTTATACTTATTTATAGTTAGTGTTTGCATTTGTTTGGAAGATATCTGTCAATCAACTTCGAATACATCTTCAGAACTGTGAGGATAATCACACAATTAGCAGTACCACAGAGTCCGATCAGTACTCGTTCTGACGTGAAATTTGTGAAGTAATTGCCTGTCATGTAGAAGGACAACTTACAGGACCTGGTCTTACTATTGGGTGTAACGAAACCTTTCTTACTTGTCGCAAATACAACAGAGGCCGCTATACTCACTCTCATAACATTGTCTTGTTTGGCATCTACTGTTATGAAACAAAAGAAGGGCTCTACTTTCAAACCAATAGTAAGGCTAAGCATGATCGATGGTCACTTCTTTTGAAGTATATCCATCCTGAAAATTAAGCGCATATGTGCTGATCAAACTAAACAATATAAGAAAGTTAAGACGCTCTTCTCGGCTTCAACCCAACACACTGTCGTTAGCCATTCAAAAGGACAGTTTGTTGACAAGAATGACAAGGAAAACCATATCAACAGTATTGAGAACAACAAGAAGCATCTTCAGAGTTTATTTAAGTCCTGTCGCTCTGATCAACTCATCTATAAGTACATGGCAGTGCACTTCTACTTCAATCGCTACATAAAAAATCACAAGATTCTTGGTGCTCAACTTCAGTAATTTATCGATGATGTCATTCGTGGCTATCCTGGACCACTGGAGTTGGGAGTAGAGGGACTTCAATTGAATGAGATCAACCTTCCGACGCCTAAGAGTGAGGACATCGAACACATGGACGATGCTGAGTGGGGACCTAATGACTTCTAATTTTTTAACTATTTTTTATGATACACTTGTTACATTTTATTTCAAAAAAAAAATAAACCTTTTATGCAATTTTAAACAGAAGTTTAATTTTTCATATATCTCTTAAAATATTGCTCTTGGAGCATTAGAAATACTTTTAATGACCTTCCCATGGGCTAATTAGTCGAAATAGATCGAAACATGAGCGGAGGGGGGGGGGAGGCGATCGATAAGTGTATTTGTCCCCTCCTTCGACTTAGGAAATCATCATACAAAGATCAATAATATCTATTGTATATAATAATGTTTCTTGTTTCATATTTACTTTTGTACAACAGACCGACTTATATATCTAAAATTCAAATCAATCTATTGATCTCAACTTTTGCTTTTCAGTAACCGATTGTTTTGTCGAAATTAATTGGAAATAACATGTGTTTGTGAATAAAAAACAAATGCAGAATTTAGCTTCATCATCACGTTTCATGTAATTTATTTGCAAATAAAAGCACTCATTAGGGCACTGTATGCAAGTACAAATAAATAAATAAATAGATAAATAAAAACTAATGAAATGTAAATAAGCTAAAAAATTAACGTTGGCTTCATATAAAAACAAGAAAAAGAGAAAGGGAAGAATAAGAGCAGAGTCTGTTTTTTATAGGATATTTTGGAACTTTCGGAACCGAATCTTCAATTTAAGTGAGAAAAAGCTGATGTGGAATGGATGTTATTGAAAATCTTTAACAAATAATGAAATTTAATATATATATATAATCATAGTATATCAAACAATTGTAAAACGAGTAACACCATCTCGATAAACAATAATTTTTGCTGTGGTAACATACCATTGACTTGATG